TAGGGTACCAAGAGGGTCCATGTATAAGCAGGACACGTTAAACTGCACTCATCGCGGAGGCCACAGGTTCTGGAGACTCCATACTTGGAGAGTCTGGGCACTTAGTAAATGGTTATTTTATAGACTTATAAGCACTAAAACCCCAATTAGGGTCCCTTTTAGGGTACTTATAAGTCTACTTATTCCCTACTTACTAAGTCTCCCGACCCTCCAAGTATATACTACTATTATGGAATTGGGCTCCCAAAACCAGACTAAGGATGGTCTTTTGGGACCTAACTCCATGATGGTAGTCTATATGAAACCCTAAACCCTAAACCCCTAAACCCTAAACCCCTAAACCCTCAACCCCATGATGGAAATGTATATGTACCCGGGTAGCATCACGAATGCGAAGGTGCCAAGCCCGCAACTCATTGAGCAGGTCTACTTGGAGGTTCAGGTGTAGGTATGAGTGGCGGTATAAGTAGGGTTCCTTGAAGGGTCCCATGGGGTTTGGGGTTTAAGTTTAGGGTTTAGGGTTCATGGGTAGTTGTAACTGGGGTTACCAGTGCACCAACTATGATTAGAACTGGAACCCATAACCACCCATGAACCTCCAAGGAGACCCCCACGCCCTACGATACAGGTGCATCTTTAGGTATTACAGGGGAATGCTTTTGGCAGCCATTCAGACCTCCATATGACCCCAAGCCCTGGAAACACCAGCGTACCAGCAGAGGTGCTGAACGGGCACACTGCTGCCTGCGAGGCAGGCACCGTTCGCAGTTGTTTCTGCGTGAGTGTGTGTGTGTGTGTTTGTTTTTTGCTGGAGATGCTGGAGGGGGTGGAGGGGAAGGGGCAGGTTTTTTGGTTCAGACTTCTGGTGTTGAATGGTGATCCCGAGCATACAGTTCTGGACCTCCCACAAAATGCTAGGTGGCAAAATCCTACACCGTCAAGGGCACAAAAAACAAACCCCTCCGCTCCGCTCCCGACTTGAAACATCATCGAACTCAGCAAGTAAGGTTATACGTATAGGACCATGGCTTCCTTATTTATAACCCTAGGTACTCGGCCTTACGATCCTTCAAGGATACAATTGCTTAGACTCTGCAAAAGACTTAAAGATTAAAGAATCGCAAAACCATGCAAGGCTTGACGACCGCCCAAGAATACGTTCTGTCGCCTGCAACATTCAGGTAATATGGGGCCTTACAATAACTAGAACACGGCTTTGGGGTAAAAAGGCTGTATGGTCTTATTGAATCTTTGTAGCGCTTTTGAATCTAGGGCCACCCTAAACTCTAATCCCCAACCTGAAACCCTAAACCCTTAACCCTAAATTTCTAAATCTCAAAAGTAAAACCCCAACCCCAAAATGCAAAAACTAAAACCCTAAACCCGAAATCCCAAAACAGAAACCTTAAGCCCTAAATGCCGAAGCTTAAACCCCAAAGGTGCTTCTCAACGCTCGAGGAAGCCCAGAACCTCCCAAGGCGGGTCTTGCCAGGCGTTAACGTTGAGTTTAGGCTTTAGGGAAGGGTTTAGGGTTGGTTGGGTGGGTTTAGGGTTTAGGGAATTAGAGTTTAGGGTTGAGGGAAGGGTTTAGGATTCGTTGGGTGAGTTTAGGGTCTAGGGGGTTTAGGGTTTAGAGGTTTCGGGTTTAGGGTTTAGGGTAGCGTTTAGGATTCGCTGGGTGGGTTTAGGGTTTAGAGGTTTAGGGTTTAGGGTTCAGGGTAGGGTTTAGGATTCGTTGGGTGAGTTTAGGGTTTAGGGTAGGGTTGAGGATTCGCTGGGTGGGTTTAGGGTTTAGAGGTTTTGAGTTTAGGGTTTAGGGTAGGGTTTAGGATTTGTTGGGTGGGTTTAGGGTTTACAGGTTTAGGGTTTAGGGCTTCTTGGGGGAAGCCTGGGACTTAGTAAGTAAGCTTACAAGTGTGTTTAGGGTTTAAGGTTTAGGGGTTTCTAGAAGGGTTCTGGAGTGTTGGGGTTCACGGGACTTGGCAAGTAAGGTTATAAGTACCTTAGTTGCATTATGAGTGTTTATAATATACTTCATTTGCAATCCTAGCTGCTCTAGCTACAAAGCCCCATGATGCGATGATCCTTCAAGTAACCCGAAAGCCGCTTTGAGGAACCCGTATAGATCCCTTTAAGGAACCCTAGCTACTAACTCCCATGATCCTTGATCCTGGAAAAGGATTTACAGGGCGCTTCAAGGAGTCCTGTCAAAGCGTGTTCTCGGGTTTAGAGTGGGGAGCTTAATAATTCGAATAGGAAGTCTTGCATTAGAGTAGGGCTTGAAGGGGCGTTTTAATAAAAATATGAAGATACGGAACTCTATGGAATAGTATAAGTAATTGTTTAGGCCCCTTCATTGGCGTTTAGGGTGACATTAATATTCCCCTTTGAGTTTCTCGTCGTTTTCGTTTTGCTTTGGGGCTTTGGGCTTAGGGCTTTCAGACTTTGTTGTTTAACGCTTCGGGGTTCGGTGCTTGAAGAGTGTTTCTGGGCTTTGGCAGTTTCGGTTTAGGGTTTAGGGTTTGGCAATTGGGTTGAGGGGTAGGACGGAGTTTTGAGTGCGGCTGCCAGGTTTCATGTTGCTTTAACACCGGATGTGCGGGCAGAGGCCGCTATGGAAGATCTTTGTAAGCTACAAGTGCTGAGGTTGCGCCAAGAGGCGCCAAGCCTGCTTTACCGCAGTGAGGACGCATGGAATTCCGCTTAGGCATGGAGACGTGGACATGTTGGCTGACTTCATCCAGACCTTCGACGAGTTCCTGCGACCTCAACGGGCGCTGGAGCTCAAGACAAAGGGGAAGAAGAGCCGCATCAGGATTCGGGACATTGACGAACTATCCGAGGTTCAGAAAACCGGGCAACCAAGGTGAGCAGGTGAGATTCTTGGCATCGGCAGGGCAGCTAAAAGGTGCTCAGTACGTGACAACCGGGCAATTTCGAACAGGACTCAGGACTGCATGGATGAGTCAAAGAGTTGCGCGACTGGTTTATGCTTGCTGATGACTCAAAAGGCACAGCCAGAGATGTTTGGCTTTAAAAAGCCAAAACGCAACCCTAACTGTTCAGGGTTTGGGGGTTTATAGAAACTGTCAGGGGTTTGGGTGCTCTAGTTTTGACCGAAACCTTCTGACCGAAAGTTTTCTTTTGGAGCCCTAAACCCTAAACCCTAATTAAACCCTAAACCTAAACTGGTGCTGGGCGGGGGCTGGGGTTTCGGGGTCTGGTTTAGGGTTTAGGGTTTAGCTTAGGGTTTAAGGTCTAGGGTTTAGGGTTTAGGGGTTATCGTCCTGTACTGGAAAGCCCAAACCAGCCCTAAACCCGAAACCTGATCCTGCAGAAGAAAGGGAGCTTTAATGAAGGAAACAGATCCCAACGGTTTAGGGTTTGGGGTTTGGGGTTTAGGGGTTTGGGGGTTCAGGGTTTAGGGTTTAGGGAGGGAGCTCTAACCAAGGAAACAGATCGGATTCCCCTTTCAACAGAGACCGTGTCCTTCTGCTCGACGTGTGCTGTTGAATCAGGGGCCCAAATAATCGTTCAGAGTGACCAAAACGTGCCAGGGTCTGTGACGGCGTAGCTGTAGGCGGTATCATGACTGAATGTTCAGCCTTCTGTGTCATCGCCTTAGACCCCTTCAAGGAACCGTTGAAGAGACCTCCATAAACCCTTATACAACAAATCCAGCAAGCCCTGCAACAAGCTTGAAAGCCATGTAACAGGCTTCGAAAAAGCCTTGACCCACCATGTTAGATATGGGTAGTTCTCTAAATTGGGGTCCCTTTTGAGGTCCCCAATATAGTACGGCACCGTAATACAAAGGACCCTAAAAAGGGACCCTAATTTCGAGAATTACCCAAAGTGGGCCCTTACAGTGCCCTTATAGAAACCCTATAGAAACCCTTATAGATCCCTTTATAAGGAGCCCTAAAAGTCACCCTAATCTTAGATAGGTTTGTCTCATGACAGTTCTTTCATGAAAGCACACTTGGAGGTTCATGGGTAGTTATAAGTAGGGTTATAAGTCCCCTAATATGGGCTATAATTATAGTTAGCTTACTTATAACTCCACTTATAACTACCCATGAACCTCCAAGCAGGTCAGGGCATACCGCCATGAGAAGAGTACGTCTCTGCTGCCGAAGCCTCACGGGTCCTTGCCGGTTTAGGGTTTAGGGGTTTAGGGGTTTAGGGTTAAGGGGTTTAGGGTTAAGGGTTTAGGGGTTTAGGGTTTTAGGGGTTTAGGGGTTTAGGCTTTTAGGGGTTTAGGGGTTTTGGGGTTTAGGGTTTAGGGGTTTAGGGTTTAGATTCTACTACGGGGCTTTTTGGAGAGTCTATGGGAGACCACTTTGGGTTACCACAGGCTGTCCATATAAA